TACAGATTTATTAATAGTCTTTAAAATGAAATAGGATTAAGCATACTGCTCTGTAGTTTGTTCTCTGAAGTCAACAATACTTTTTAGCCATCTTTCCATGTGAACACAGACAAATTATTTCGTTCTTTTTTATTTTATCGAAGTGAAATTCACATAATATAAAGTTAATCATTCTAAAATGAACAAATCAGTGGCATTTATTACAATATGCAACCACCAACTATATCTAGTTTTTCATCCTTTTTAATGGCTGTATAGAGTTCTATTTCATGGATGTACCATAATGTATGTATCTAGGCTTTTCAGCTTTTTCCAGTTTCACACTATTCCAAGCAATATTGCAATACTTGTATCTACATTTTTGCAGATTTGTGGAAATGTTACTATAGGATAACTTCCTAGAAGTGAAATTTCAAGATCAAAAGTTAAGCCAACCTCAAATTTTGATAGATTTTGAAAAATTTCCTTCCAAAAAGACAGTGCCAATGTCCATTTAAGAGCTCCCTTAAAAGGGAGACTAGTGTATATCCCCAGGAGCCTCTTTCTGTCCCCTCTTCCCATATCACTTATGTCCTGGATCCGGCGTCTGGTGATGGACTTACTGTTCCTGCTTTGCAATCTGTATTCAGTTCCCTAGGGCTGGCATAAGCAAGTACCACAAACTGGGTGGCTTGAAACACAGAAATTTATTCTCTCACAGTTCTGGAAGCTAGGAGTCTAAAATCAAGGTATCAGCAGGGCCCTGCTGCCTCTGAGCTCCAGGGGAAAATCCTTCCTTTTCTCTTTCAGCTGCTAGTAGCTCTTGGCCATCTTCAGCATGAGAGGGGACACCTCTCTCTGGCATCAGCCGTAAATCTGGCGGGCCTACCTGCCAGGGTAATGAAATGATCCCGGCCAGGCCTGCACCCAAGTAAAGAGCTTATTTTGCATGATCAGACACAATTTATTAGGACAGGACAGGCTTTGGAGCCACCCTCAGGCGCAAGGCTCTTCATCTGTTCCGAGCCCAGCCGTGTGTTCCTGACATGTGCGAGAGCATGTCGGTGGGCTCCGACTTCTCTCTCATTACTTTCCCTGGTGTGACCACGGCGTCCTCAGGCTGGTTTTCACATTTCTTCTCTGTTAGCTAGGCACTCACCCACCAACCCGTCACCCACCCATCTGAATGTCCGGGGTGTGCTTGCCAGGGTGTGAGGAGGGGTGCCAGGGTCCCGGGGCAGGCAGGCAAACCCAGGGAGGCAGGTGCCCCAAACACCTGGGTTGAAAAGGGTAAAAAAGGGTAAAATACCTTCATCTCAGCCCATTCGACCTTTGGAAGACACTAGAGAGACGTAGGAGATAGTTCCCAAACCACTAGGGCTCGTTGGTCCCCAAAATACTAACACCAAGTCCTCCCAAAACTCAACAGAGGAGAAAGAGTACACAGATCAAAATGGCATTGAGAATTTGTCAGGGACCGAAGTTAGAAGGCACCTTCCATGGCATCTGGAAAAGGTGACCCACCACCTGTCACATAGATCCTTTGGCATTTGCCCGATGTAAGAATTGGTTGATTTTGCTATGCACGTTAAAGGATTTAACTGACAATGCACGTGTGCAAATAATGTAGCCATGCAAAATGAAACAAAGATGACTGGAGAATTCTCCACTAGCCACACCAAGGCTTCCATTTGGATTTCACTTAGCAATTAGCCGATTGGATTATACTTGCTTAATTGGTGGGTGCCCTTTCATAGGTACAAATTAGCTCAGATTCTTTATCATAGGGATTGTGTCTCTAACCAAAAAAATAATCATTCAATGGGGAGTTTGGGGAACCTTGCTCCATCTTGATTCATCTTGCCTTTATGTGGTTGGAGACTATTAGCTCAGCATAATTGCTTTGTGTCAGAGTGCTGTTGGATCAGCAGAAAAAAAAAAAAGAATGTGGCAAGGAAAAAGTTAATAGGCAATGTGTATGAGCTTTACCAATGACAAAAGACGGGCTATAGACTCCCAACTTGCCTTTCACTTCACCCTTCCTGTCACACTGCAAACACACGGTGAACGTAAAACCTGGTTACTCTGGGTGTGTTCTCTTGATTGGCGTAAACCCACAAGACAGCCTAAATTCCATTTACAAACTGGAATCCTTCTAGGAAGCACTGCTTCTGTGTATATACAGATCATGCCGAAGCCCCTACCCCACCCCTGCGCCCAGTAGGAGGGCATCGTAGTCTCCAATCCCTGTGGGTGCTTTTTATGCAGGTTAGAGAGATTGTTATTCAAAAAGTTTTTACAAACTGGAATCCTTCTAGGAAGCACTGCTTCTGTGCATATACAGATCATGCCGAAGCCCCTACCCCACCCCTGCCCCCAGTAGGAGGGCATCGTA